GCCTTGGCAGGGTTGGGGGTTTATCCGGATTATCCCAGAGGGCTTTTCCAACCTTTATGGTTCTGTGATGTCCTTTGGAAGTAAAGATATCAATTCTTGGAGCAATGACAGAATCAGCACCACAGGAAAGAGTCCCCGAGCACCTTCAGAGCTGTCACAATTCAGCTGTGTGTACACATCTCCTTTTTCCTGTTTTTAATAGTGGGACAAACAGAATCATTACCAAGTATCTGTTCTTTAACTGCTCCAGTAATATCTAGAAATCGTTTCCAGCAGCTCAGGCAGAGGACTCTGAGTTTTATTAAAGAGGCTTGGAGGAAATTTTAGAACCATGGAATGGTTTGGCTGAAAAGTGACCCTAAAGCCCACCCTGTTCCCATGGGCAGGGACACCTCCCACTATCCCAGGTTGCTCCAAGCCCTGTCCAACCTGGCCTTGGACACTTCCAGGGATGGAGAGTCCACAACCTTCCCTTCTTTCATTTACCTTCCCCATGCTTGGGAAGATGAGGCTTCCCAGCAGTTTCTTGCAATCTGAGTCTCTTCTGTTTGTGTTTAGATGCACTTTTCCCAAGCATTTGTTAATTTTTTGTGGTTTTAATCAGGGTGAGACTTGCTGGGGGTGTTCAGCTGAGGCTGATGAGGTTTTCCAGCCAAAGGCTGACCAGCTGTTCCTGCTGAAATTCTCCCTGTGTTTGAGGGAGCTGCGAGCAGTCAGGTTGTCAGGGCAGGAGTCTCATGAGCAAACGGGAGGTAACAGATCTGTTCCCTTCCATTTTAAGAGTGACCTTTAACTCACCAGACTTTGCAAAATAGCTGCAGCAGGATCCTGCTGGAAGTTTGCCTCCAGAGCCCCAGTGTGAGGCCAGGCCTGGCATTGCCCTGCAGATCTGGGAAAACGTGGGAGCAGCACATCCCAGCGGGGCTGGGCTGCTCCCACCTCCCTGCCCCGGGGAGATCCACACGGATTGACCCTGCTGGGCTCCATGGGATGGTTGGGAGCAGTGCCTGTGACAACCAGGAGGTGACAGAGAAGACAGGAATCCTTTGCCAGGCTTGCAGTGAGGGACAGCAGCGTGGAATTGTGCCTTCTCCCTGACATTGATCCCCCACCGCAAGTGCGAGGACGCGGCTTCAGTTACAGAAGGTGCAAGGAGCTATTTTTGGGTGTCCAACAGCTCCCCTAAACTCCTGGCTCCTAGGTGGGCCATTGCTGTGGCAAGGCTGGGGGTTCATTTTTGGCATATTTGACTTTTTTTTTAAATGCATCCGTGTGAAAAAAGGACATGGAAGACGCTCCCCTGCCTGTGCTGACGGTGCCAACAGCTCCTTACAGCGACCAGAGACCGGGAACCAGCGGCTTACGGAGGAAGACCTTGTACTTTGAATCCAAGCTGAACTATTTGCAGAATTTTATCCAGAGTATATTCTTTTCCATAGACCTAAGAGATCGCCAAGGAGCCTCTCTGGTGGTTGGAGGTGATGGGAGGTACCTCAATAAGTCTGCAGTGGAAGTGATTGTCCAAATGGCTGCTGCCAACGGGGTTGGTAAATGTTAAAGGGCTGAATTCCTGTGGGGTGTGGTTGAGAAATGCAGAAATCCATCAGAAATTAGGCACTGGGAGATTTAATTTCCCCAAAGGCTTTATTCAACTGCTAATAGTGATGTTTTTAAGGCAGATCAGGCGGGGAATACAGAAAATAATGTTTTTTCACTCTAAGTGTTGCAGTTGGGCAGAGAATACACATGGAGAGAAGAAAATAAATTCTGCTGGGGTTTGTGTGTTCTTGTTTTGTGCTTTGACATGCCCCAAGCTGTTGGCACCTGTGGATTTTTCACTTTCCATGAGAATATAAACCCCTGATACTGTTCAGAAATGGAGTAGAGTGGCAAAGGAGAAGAAACAATCATGTTTTGCATTTCTCACCAGGTGTAAGTTGTGGCTGTGGGATAAATGCTCAGGGAGCCTTTGAAAATTGATATGAGATTCAGCAAGTGAGTGACAGCCTTTATAGGGAGCTCAGTTGTGCTGGAATTCTGTGTTTTGGAAGCAGAGCAAGAGGCTTGTGTGTTTGTGGTTCAAGCAATGGGCTTTTGTCTTTGTTTAATTTTGCTTTTTAATAATAAAAGGCTCTGCTGTCTGTCCTGGACCTCTTAGTGCAGAGCAAACTTTGTGCAAAGGGACCTGGATTTTAGGAATTTGTTTGACAAAAAAAACCAGACTAGAACAGTGTAATGGTGAATGGGAGAATACAATGAGATAATTTTATTCATTTATTTTTAAAATCAAACTATTTTCCATATTGGGTGGGAAAAAAATCTTCAGGCATTGCAAGTTCATGTCTTCCTTTGAAATCAGTGTATGGGCTGAGCAGAAGAGCTGGAAAATGTGAACAGAGCCAGGGTTAGGGTGCTTGATACCAGGACAGATCTGCTGGTGAGGCTCTTCTTTACCAGCTCAGACTTTTGTCTCCAGCACTGGGCCCAGGTCTGCCTAAATTTAGGGATTTAGGGATTTTAAAAATTTTCCTCCTCAGTCTGGCTGGTGCCTGTCAGTGTTGTGCTCGTGGTGGCTTGTGCTGCATCTCCTGCACAGAAAGGGCTGCAAGGGTGGGCTGGGGACACGGTGGAACTTCCATGGCCTGGAAAAGCTGTTCCCAGTGTTCCTGGGGGGAGGAGGGGCTGCAGGAGGTCCCTGTGTGCATCCTAATGGGGCTTTCAGTAAAACCAGGGTGGAATTATTGCCTGGATGGTTTTGAAGTGCTGTAACCCAAACTTGCTGCACAAAGTGGGTCTGTTTGGAGAATTCCATGAAAGGTGTTTCTGCAACATTGCAGCCTGAGGTTTTCCCCATAAGAAATCCCACAGACTCAAAAAGGATTAAGTGTAAATCGTTCAGCACATTGTTACACTGAGCAACCTTCCCCAGTGCTTACCACAAAGATTCAGCATTGGATGGGTGAGGAATGGCAGCTGAAAACCTCTGGAAGCCAAGGAGGACCCAAATCACAGAGCAGCTCACACAGAGATGAGTGGTTCTTCCTTTCCTTCCTTGCTGTGGGGAAAAGCTGCAGTTTAGATCAGCAGGGAGGGCAAGGACAGGGGATTTGATGTGTTCATCCAACTCTCCTGCAGCTGCTGCCTGCTTTGGCAGGGAAAAACCCTCGGTTTTCCTCCCTCTGCAGCATTCCTGGGGCACTGAGGCACAGGGGTGCTGCAGAACGTGACCCTCAGAGGGAAACTGGGGAGCAGGAGGGGAAGTTTTGGAGAGGAACTTCCTGCAGGTCCTGTGAATTCTCAGGGAAACTGAAGGAACAAGGTTTGGAGGCCAGAATAAAGGACAGGGTGTGTCTGAAAATGGGGGAAAAGCCAGCCCTGTGGAGGTTGGGCTGCTTCAAATGAAACGTGAGGTGCAATAAATGAGAGATCAGTGTGTGGGAAACGTGAGGTGCAATAAATGATCAGTGTGTGGGAAACGTGAGGTGCAATAAATGATCAGTGTGTGGGAAATGTGAGGTGCAATAAATGATCAGTGTGTGGGCACAGTGAGGTGAAATAAATGATCAGTGTGTGGGAAATGTGAGGTGCAATAAATGATCAGTGTGTGGGCACAGTGAGGGCTCCAATGTGAGCTGGTGTGAGCAGCTGGAGGCAAGGCCTCACTTTGGGTTTGTAAAATGCTTTTTCACATTTCTGCTGTTATTTGCTAGGGGTGCAGCTCTGCCAGCAGCTGGGCTGTGCCAGCTGGACCATGCAATAACTGATGGGCAGCGAGGCTGGGGCTTAGCACCTGGCAGTGCCAGGGGCCAGGAATCACAGCCATGCCATGCCCTTGGCTCAGCACCCACCACAGCCTGGGAATGCTCCTCTTGATTCCTGCTTCAGCTTGTGATTGAATGAAATCCCTCCTCTTTTCCCACTCTGTTCTTGGTCCTCAGCTGCTGCAGAGGAGTCTGGTGTGGTTCTTAAATCCTGTCACCTCATTTGGGGGCTGTAGGAAGGAGTGTGTTCTTCCAGGGAATTATCCACCTCCTGCTTTCTTGCCTGCATTCTGATGTTGGTGCATTGCTCAGCACATTGCTCTGGATCCAGTCTCAGGGACATCCCTGAATTGATGGGAAGGAGGTGTGCTGCCTGCTGTGAGGAAAAATCTACAGCTGCTCCCAGGATGTTCAAGTTTTGTGTTCTTCTGGCTTCTCTCTGCCCCATTGTGTGTTTTGAAGGCAAATTTTGAGACCACAGCCAGAGGGAATGCTGTTTTATTTGTGGTGTGGAATGCCTGTGGAGAGCTCAGCCCTGCAGTACATCCATGTGCAGCATTGATGGAGGAAAATGCTACAACACAGGGGGCTGGATGCACCATGGGGAGCTTTGGCAGGAGCAGGGCTGTGCTTTGTAGGTGTAGAAGAAGAGATTATAGGCAATCTGATAAGCTGCAGTTGTACTAATTACCAAAGAAGAGAAACAGCCTTGCCCTTAATGAGTTGTGACTAATAAAGATAAGTGTGATAAAAGGGGTGGGTTGGCTGCTCAGAGAGGACCCTCGAGGAAGAGACCCTCGAGGAGCTCAGAGGAAGAAGAAACAATCCAGAGAGACATAGAGAAGGATGAAACAAGGAAAGAGATTTGCTGCAGTAAACGATGTGCTGTGAGGTCAGTCTGGGTCCGATGGAGCCTGCAGTCATAGCTGAGCTGGGTCAAAGCTGTCTCAGAGTCTGCAAACCAATATTTACAGTCAGAGTCCAGCAGGAAACAGGCAGCAGTGAGTCTGCAGCTGGACCCTACAGTAGGAGCTTGCTGTAGTCAGAGTGAGGATGGCAAGGCTGTAAAGAAGAATAAACCAGGACTTTTTTTATGCTGTTAAACGCGAGTCTGAGTCTTGGCTCATTTCCACCCCTAACAACACATCTGCTGTGCCAGTGCTTTGCTGGCAGAGTTCGGGGCTCGGGCTGGCTTTGGGATTTGCCCTGACAGAGTTTGTTCTGCTCGTCCCCTCTCAGATCGGGCGCTTGGTGATCGGGCAGAACGGGATCCTGTCCACGCCGGCCGTGTCGTGCATCATCCGCAAGATCAAAGCCATCGGGGGCATCATCCTCACTGCCAGCCACAACCCCGGCGGGCCCAGCGGGGACTTCGGCATCAAATTCAACATTGCCAATGGAGGTCAGGCCAGTCTGCTGTGGTTTTATTGCTCTGATGGGCGAGATTTATTGTGGGCACACACGTTCACAGAGCTGGGGAATTCCAGATTGGGAATTCTTCTCAGGAATGGATTTCTCCTGACTCTCAGCTCCATTGCCAGGCTGACAAGCTGACTGCAGCTTCAGTTAGGGAGGAAGTGTCCCAGGGTGACAACACGGTGACAAACAGAGTGGAATTCATCATCAACATTAACCCCTGGTGTCTTTGCCGTGTCCAACGAGCTCCTGTCCTGTCCTGGCTGCACTGACACACTTTAAATCCGGGCTGTGTGTACAATAAATTGGCCTTTTTTCCCCAAAGAGCTCCGTGGGTGTTGCTGTCCTTTCTCTTTTCAGCCCAGTAACCACAATTTATCTTCTTTTTCTGCCAGGGTTGGGATTACATGTGTGCATTTCTTGTTCAGACTCAGTTGTTTATTAATTCTTGTCTGTATTACAAGCTGTGAGTTCTACAGCACTTCAAGTTAACAAGCTAAAAATGGAGATGTATCTCCCTCTCTACGAGGCTTTTTAAGGATAAATTATCCAATTAGGAAATGACATCTAATTTTTTTTTAAACTTTTAAATAACTAACCACCCGTGGCCCACAATGCAGAATTTTCTATCCAATTACAAAAGTACCACCTATACCCGTGAAGAAAGTGAAGAAGAAAGAAACCTCCACCCTAAAATCTCCATCTTGCTTTCTATATATTACTATATTCTAAAACCTTAAATTCTAACTTTTTCCTCATGTGATATTACACACTTTTATTTAAACTACACACCCATAATCCCAGTTTTATCACTCAATTTTGGAAGCTTTCCCCACAGCCTCAGGTCAGAAGCAGTGTTCTCCTGGGGGTCAGTGCCTGTGAGCACAGAAAGTCTCAAATTCTCAGTGACCAGGGTTCCAACACTCTTATTGTTATTTATTTCTTGTGTCCACTCCAGAATCCAAATTCCTGTTCCTATCCCAGAAATCAGAGCCCTGAGCTGAGGATGATCTGCTCCCCTCATTCCCTGGTGTTCCTCTCCCAGCCAAGTTTTTTCTGCATTCCTGAAGTTCCTTCTTTTTGCAGATGGATTCTTTAACATCTTCCCCTTGCCCATTTCATTTTGCAGGTCCTGCTCCTGAAGCCATCACAGATAAAATTTTCCAGATCAGCAAGAAAATTGAAGAATATGCAATCTGCCCAGACCTCCAGGTGGATTTGGGCACCATTGGGAAGCAGCAGTTTGACCTGGAGAACAAATTTAAGCCATTTACAGGTAAATGAATGTTTTTCCTCTTGGCAAGGTGAGGAATTGTGGTGTTTCTGTGGCCATTCTGACCTCTGCTTCTCATCTGTTGCATAATCCCAGTGAGGACATTGCTCCTGGCATTTATTTATTTGTTGATTTTGATTTATATAATTTTTTGTCCTACAGAAGTTTCTACTTCAGTAGCAAAATCTTGATCTATCAAACTTCCCTAAAATCAAAGGCTGGTTTTCTTTCTGCAAGGCAAACATGTATTACATAAAAACAGGAAAAAATGCAGTTAAATCTTTCAACTGATTTTTTTTCCATGGTTTCACATATAAAAGTTGTCACTGTGAGTGGAAAAGCTGTTACATTTCACATGTGACTTTTGCCAGCTAGCCCTGAAATATGAAAATAAATCTTAAAAATACTTTTTTAAAACACTGCAAGTATTTTTTATCATCTCCTGGTGCTTGTAATTAACAAAGAAATAAAATAAAAATAATAAAAGCTGGTGTTTCTCTCAGTCCCCATTTCTTTGTAGTGGGATTTTTAAGCTGTATTTTGTTTTTATGTTGGCTGCAAAGGTGCAACTTTTTGAATTATTAAGTTCACACTTCCCATTGACTTTGGTGGAAATTAAAGATCTGATTTTATATACATATTTTAAAATTTAACTGAAGTGGGACTGAGCCTTCTTGAAGAAAGTCCAGGGAGCCTTAAGTGGGAACAGAGTTTACCTTAAGGATTTTGTTGGTCCACTTGTGACCTGATTAGCAGTGTAATTAAATTCCTAATTTAGCCTCATTATTCCTATTCTGATTCTCTGGGATGTTCAAGGTCTTTGTGCTGAGCCCTGACCTTTTGCTCTGAGGACTCTGAGCACAGCTACAGGACTTGGTTATCCCAATTCCAGCCTGGGAGGGTTGATCCCTGTCTCCTCCTCTTTTCCAGTGGAAATTGTGGACTCTGTGGAAGCCTATGCCAACATGCTGAGGAATATCTTTGACTTCAATGCCTTGAAGGAGCTGCTGTCAGGGAAGAACCAGCTCAAGATTCGAATTGATGCCATGCATGGGGGTAAAAAAAGGCTCTGTGGGCTCAGGTGTCCTTGGGGATTTGTCACCTACTTCAGACAGAAAGATTTTCTCTAGAATTTGTATTGCAAGCTTGGGGGTTGGTTTGTAACATAGTGGATTTTTCTTTTTGGGAGCAAACTTTTAATGTCTTGTGTTATTTTCTTTTGTCCAGTGTTGTGTTTTGGGGGTTGGAATGAGCTCATCTTTAAGGTCCCTTCCAACCCAAACCATTCTAGGATTCTGTGAAATGTTTCATGCAATCCTGAAATGGACCTCAAAGTTCATCCAGTTCCAGCCCTGCCATGGGCAGGGACACCTCCCACTAGCCCAGCTTGCCCCAAGCCCTGTCCAGCTTGGCCTGGGACACTTGCAGGGATGGGATGGATTTTGATGTGAGCTCCTAAACCACAAAGCACCTACAGGGAGCCAAAGTGAGCAGCCTGAGGTGGCTGCTGCCATGGCTGGTGCACAGCTCCCTCAAGGCTGAGCCATCTCCTCTCTGTTCTGCTGAGACAGTTGTGGGCCCTTATGTGAAGAAGATCCTGTGTGAGGAGCTGGGAGCCCCAGCAAATTCAGCTGTGAACTGCACCCCCCTGGAGGATTTTGGGGGCCACCACCCTGACCCCAACCTGACCTATGCTGCTGACCTGGTGCAGACCATGAAGACAGGGGAGTACGACTTTGGAGCTGCCTTTGATGGAGATGGGGTAAAGGAACTGCTCTGAATTCCCTTTTTTCCCCTCTAACCAGCTCTGGGGGCTGAGCTCAGTGCAGCTTTCCTCTCCCTCTCTCCTCTGTAATCATGAACCACTGGCTGCAGTTTGTCACCACAGAAATAATTGGATGCTGTGTCAATAAGCCCAAACTGTATTTAAATAACTTTAAAAAAAAATATCAGCAGGGAGGTAAAACGCTATGGAGGTTCAGCTGTGTAACTTCTTCAAAGCTCTGTGTTCATTCCAGCAAATCTCTGGGAATTGTTGGATTTATGGGCTGGGCCCTGGGCTGAGCAGGGAGCTGAGCTGTGCCTGTGCTTGTGAGAGCCCAAAGAGGGATGCAGGACTCGAGCCTGGCTCTTTAAATGTATCCAAATGATACAGCAATTTATTTATTCTTTAAAATGCTGTTTATTGTATCCAAATGATGCAGCAATTCACGGGTCATGGGTGACAAGAGCTCAGCCCCCAGCCCTGTCACCTGAGCTGTGGGTTTGTCTGAAACCTTCTCTAGTTCTGGTTACAGTGCATTAAATACTTTGCTGAACATTCTAATGCATGACAACCAATCAATACTTTTGCTATTACCCATAGCCCATCATAACTACCAACATTACCATATTCATGTTATTATTTTCCAATCACAGAAGGTCAGTGTGTTACAGTTTAAGCTAGAAGCTGTTTTTAAGTTTTCTTGCAGTGGAAAATTCTGAGATCTTTTTTCTACTTGCAACATTGGCTTTCTTGTTTGCCTGTGAAAATCTTTTTGCTCGGTAAAAACATCTTTTGTTTGAGGTGGATTTATCCTTTGCTCTGAGCTATAAAAACCCTTTACAACTCGCTTACTAGTTATCCAGTCAGACTGGCTCAGCAATTCTTTTATATTAAAACTTGCTTTTAGTTCTATTCCTTCTTCACATTCTACATTCAAAGCTCTTTCTGTTATACAAACATACCTGTGAGAGTTTCCTGTCAAATCCTCATCCTTCCCAAAACATTTTCTGTGTCACCCCCCCCCAGGATCGTAACATGATTTTGGGCAAGCACGGATTCTTTGTGAACCCCTCGGACTCGGTGGCCGTGATCGCTGCCAACATCCTGAGCATCCCGTACTTCCAGCAGACCGGGGTGCGGGGCTTCGCCCGGAGCATGCCCACCAGCGGGGCCCTGGACAGGTAACGCCCCCAGGGGAGGGGACAGGCCAGGTGATGGCCCTGCCCTGTCATCTCAGCCCCTCCAGCCTCTGAGGGTTCATGGGTTCAGCCCTGCCTGGGGAACGTGGTGTGTTGGAGCTCTAAAGCTTTGGAACTTTCTGTTCTTTCTGACACTGACCCCCAAGGGAAACACTGCTTTTGATTTGAGGCTTTGGAGAAGGCTTCAAGTTTGAGTGATGGAGTTAAAATCATGGATGTGTAGTGAATAGAAGTGTGTTAATTCACATGGTGAAGGGTTTAGAATGTGGGATTTATGGAATACAGTAATAGGTATGGGACAAGATAGAGGTTCATGGGCATTGGCTCTTCTTTCTTCTTGCTCCCTCTTCATAATTTCATGTAGTAGATTTTGGTTGGATAGAAAGTGCTGCAGTGTGGGTCACAGGTGTTTGGTCATGGGGTCAAAAGTATAAATATTGATGTTTTTAATGGGATAGTTAGGCTTTAAAAGACCTTGTAACTAGCAAGGCACATCTCCATTTTTTCACTTTTACCTTGTTAGCTGGAAGTGCTGCAGAACTCACTGTAACATAGATAAGAATTAATAAACAACTGAGTCAGAACAAGAAAATCTCTCTGGTGCATTCAATCCTGACTCTGAGTGAAGGCAGAGGAAAAAAGAAGAGCCACAAATATAAATAAAGCCACTAATAATGGCAGAGCTAAGCTGAGCTCTTGGCTGCCCTACAGATAAGCCCAAACAAATGGCTCTCCTCACCCTTCTTTTCCTTAAATTTGATAGTGATACTTTGTTGGTGAAATGCTTTGAGATCTCAGCTTAAAATTGCTTTGAAGAGCTGTGTGTTTGTATCTGTTCTGTAAATGCACATCCCACCCATGTCCCAGATACCACACTGGGATGAAATAGAGGGATTGTACCAAAGCAGTGCCATTCCTTGCCTTCAGTGGCACCCCAGGAGAGCTGCTGATCCCATTTCCCCTGGGAGAATCCAGGGATGTGACTTGACCTTCTTACCTTGGCAGGGTGGCCCAGGCTACAAAAATTGCTTTGTATGAGACTCCAACAGGCTGGAAGTTCTTTGGAAACCTGATGGATGCAAACAAACTGTCTCTGTGTGGAGAGGAAAGCTTTGGGACTGGTAAGTCAGCATTCCCAATATCACCCACGATGGTGGTGTTCCTTCTCTTAGTTGTTTGTTCTTTAGAGCTTAGGATTTATCTTTTATCTGCAATCGTTAATACTTGTAAAATATTAAAATATAAAAAAAGGCTTGGAGGAATTAGTGTGGAAATGAACACAATGCTCAAGGTTTTGGGAGGTGGGAGCTCCTCCTCCTGCAGTTCTCCAGGAAGGCACGTGGAGACAGGCAGGAAGTTTGGGGGCCTCTTTGGTAGCCTGGTCACTGAATCTGTGGGGATTAAATGCAGTGCTAAATGTATTTTTCAACCCTTGGTGGCCAGGAAAACCTTCTCAATGTTTTCCTTTCTGGAAAGAAATACGATTTGGAGCATGGAGTTTTATTGGGGAAGGTTTCAGGTCACTATTAAATCTCTGAGCTTAATAGGCCCCTCATTTTCCTGTTCTGAAAACAAGGTATGATTTATAAAGTTTAAATTAACACTTGCCTTTGAACAGTCTCAGTGAGTTACTGAGAAACAAAGTGAACATCACAAGGAATTTACTGGGGGTGTGCAGGGAAGTTGGGGGGAGCAGGATTTGCTCCAGGTCAGAGCAGGGTGCTCAGGACAGGCAGGATTTCAGCATTCCCAGGAGGTCTCTGCATTCCCAGGAGGTCTCTGCATTCCCTGAGATCTCCCTGTGGTTTTGTGTCCTGCCTGTGGAAATGGGACCTTCCCTGCAGGCAGGGCCCTGAATCAGCACCTGACTCCTGCACAAAGGCTGAGTTTCATCTGAATTCTCCCTGAGATGTTTTTCCTGTTCTCTAAGCATCTCTGAGGGAATTTCTCACTCAAACCTTGTGTGGTTTCATTCCACCACCCCAGAAAAACCTTTTAGCTTGTGTGTGGGTACCTTAAACCCCCAGATACCTGGAGTGAAGTGCTTTGAGGAGCTGCAATGCACAGCTTGACAGGAAAGGATTACCCCAGCTTTCCTGTGGCTGGGAAAAATGGGATCACAGCTCTGGGGGAGAGCAGGTTGCTGTGGGGCTGAGCAGTCTCCAGGGACAATATTTTTGCTGTCAGATATTACTCTGATATGTGGGACTGGGATTTGGCTGGGGGTTGGAAGGAAAGGTGAATTTCAAAGAACCTGGTATCTCTGTAGAGAAATCTTGAAGTAAATAATGAGTAAAGAAAGATTCTGGAGTTTTGCCCTGAGCGATTTCAGCATGTGCTGAGTTTATATCCTTGGCTAATGAGAGGGCACTGATGCTTCAGGAGATAAATAAAACCAAATTCCTGGAGCTGTTGATGGGAGATGATCTCAAATGAACAGTTCTCCAAAACTGTTTCCATCTTTGTATGAGCAACAAGCTGAGTTTGTCTCCATCCCCCAGCAGTTTGGGACTGCCTCCCAAACCAAAGTGATTCCAGTGGCAGCAGGGGCTGAGAGAGAGAGGTTTGGGATTTTGGCCAGGCAGCAGCACAGCCCAGTGGTGGGAGCTGAAGCAGTTTGGGGAAACAGATTGGGAAAGGGCCCAGGAGTGTTGGACTCCCCTACAATGCAAAGGGGTTTGCCCATGTGGAAAATGCACTTAGGAAGGAAAAAGGAATGAAAAGGGGTGAGGAGGGTTGGTTGATAGGAAGTTAATGGGGAGTTATTTGGAGCTGGACAGAATGGGAGTGGTGAAGGGGAGAGAGGTGAAGGAGCAGCCAAAAGACCCAGTAAAAATTGAAACAAACTGTGAGGCAGTGGGACTGGAGTCCAGCAGCAATTCGAGTAATGTGACATGACAGAATTCCTGCTTGCTTCCTTGGGTATTTTATTCCAGCAATAAGCTGATACATCACATGGGACTGGTGATTATTTAGCATTCCTCTCCATCACCTCTGCCCAGTTCTCTCCACTGTGAGGGTCTGTGGGGATAATTTATGGCCACGTCCACAACAGTGGGATCTGTGCAAAGCACCACGTAACCCCTGCCCTGCCCCCAGCCCTTTCCCAGAGGATTCCCACTCTGGCACTCCTTCAGAGGCTGGCATGGCAGCTCTGGGGTGCTCCTGGGATTTCTTTAATACCTGTCTGGAGGTTTTCCAGAGTGGGAAGGAATAAACTTTGCATCTGTGGGGCACAGGGTCAAACTGGCATGCCAGAGGCACCGAGTGTGGGCTGGGGGTGTTCTGGGCCATCTGATCCCATTTCATTTGGGGCTTGTGTAAGGTCCAGCATCTCTCAGGTTTCTCAAGGGGTCAGTGCTGTGTCATCCCACTGTGCTTCCAGGGCAAGGCTGGGCTGGCTCTGGCTGATTCCTGCTCTCCTTGCAGTGCCAGCTTTGGGGGAATCCACCATGAGAGGCAAAGGGCACAAACTGAGGCCCAGGAAATTGCACCTGAACACGAGGAAGAGTTTCCTTACTGTGTGGGACAGACTGCCCAGAGAGCTGTGCAGTCTCCCTCACTGGAGACAGTCAAAAATCTGGATGCAGTCCTTGGCCCAGAGATGGCCCTGCCTGAGCAGGGAGCTTGGACCAGATGTCCCACTGTGGTCCTTTCCACCCTGAGCCATTTTGGGATTCTGTGAATCTTTCTTTAGCCAACAGGGGGGCTTTTCCAGCCCCCAGTGAGAGCAGGCTGGAGGCTCTCCTGCTCTCTGCAGGTGGATGGGGCCTCTCCTTGCCCTGCTGTTGCCAGCCCCATGGCTGCTGCTCCCTGCCCTGCTGCTCCTCTCCCCATTCCGGGGTGATTTTGGGACTGTTGGGGTTTGGTTCCCCAGGAGGGCTGACATTCCCCTTGGTGCTGGGCCAGGAGATGATCCCAGGGTGCTCCTTGGCAGACAGGACACAACAGCTGCTGAGGAGTTTCTTCTCCTGTTGTTCTCCTTCCCAAGCTGCTCCTTTGCATTTGCCTTTTGTTTTCTATTTGATGTCTTTTTTACCATGCACTCCCTGTTCCTTCCTTGGGAACAGAGTTAAGGATGTGTGAACAATGAGTGTGTGTGTGTTAAAAGATGCCAAGCATTTTATTTGAGCTGGAGCTGCAGCAGATGAGATCCTGACCCATTTTAACAGGGACGGAGCTCTGGAAATGCTTCCCACTTGTGAGCTGTGCCAGGGGATGGGGGAGAGGAGACGAGGTGGGGAGTGTGGTGTGAGAGGAGTGGGAATTGTGTCTGTGCTGTGGCTCCACAGGCTCTGATCACATCCGAGAGAAGGACGGGCTGTGGGCAGTGCTGGCCTGGCTCTCCATCCTGGCCGCCCGCAAGCAGAGCGTGGAGGACATCATGAAGGAGCACTGGCAGAAATATGGCAGGAACTTCTTCACCAGGTGGGGAAAATGCTCCTGACACCTCCCTTTGCCTTGGCTTTTAGCTTTTATGTTTTTTCAGATTCTTGCTGCTTGGTGTGTAACTCTGAAACTTCATGTTAGGTGTTAGTAAGGTCTCTTCACAAGGGAGTGACAAAACAATTCCTTTCTAGCTGGAGAATCAAAGAAAACTGGTACCCAAAAATCATAAACAACAGTGAGAGAAAGGGGGCAAGCCAGGGGACTGAGACTTCATAACCTGGGGCTGTGGGTGGATAATTAACCCCAAGATGTAGATGAATCAAAACTTATAAAAGTGCAAAACTCGTGCCCAGGATCCACTTTGGATTTGATTTGGGTGCAGCCTCATCCAGGCTCTTGCACTGCCCAAGGTGAATTCTTTTAATAAATTCCTATTTTATTCCTTTTGCTCTGCCTAGTCTCTGGTCCCTGTCCCAGCTCAGCCTTTCCAGGCATCACCATTCCCTGTCCTGGGTCACAGCAGAGCCCTGATGGCACTGCTGTGTCACCATGGGGTTGTTCCTGTCGTTCCATTCCTGTTAGTCCTGCAGTAATTTAAAACTCTCTGAGCACTTGGGGTGCCATGAAATGGGGATTCACCACAACCCTTTGTGGTGTGCAATTTTGGGTTGTTACTCCAGACAAAAATTTGGGTACCAAGTCTGGACATTTTATATGTGCAAAACACCCTTTTTTTTCTTTTAATTGAGATTTTTCCTTCAAGAGTAATTTTTGCCATGGGATCATACTCTTGAGACCCCACATCACAAGTTGATTTGTGATATTTTCAGTGACAGCAGCATCTCACAGAATGGGTGCCCAGCCCTCTGGCTGTTAAATTTAACTGGTTGAGTTGCTGTCCAGTCCTCAAATACTCAAATTTAAGCTGCAGTAGACATGGAAGATGGTTAGGCAAGGAATGGGAACCAGCCTGCACACAAGCAGAGGTGGGAACACTGTGAAAGCATTAGGCAGAAATCTTTCAGCCTGGAAGATCTACATGAAAATTCCATCTCAAATTGCCAAGTGAAAGAATTTGCCTTTCCTTTTTTCTTCTTCCCCCCACCACCCCCTCACTGCAAAGCCAGCACACATCTGAGGCATGGAAAGCTGGGGGAAAATGCCAAAGTCTGGGATAAAAAGGCAGCCTTTTAGCACAGGAGTTATGTGTGCATGGCATGCTGAGTGCAGGCTCAGGCAGCAAACAGAGCAGCACAAATCCCACTGGCAGCAGGAACACGGATCTGGGATCCTGGAGAGGGCTCCAGCCACTCCCTGCTGCCTCTCCTACCCAGGCAGGGACATCAAAGCTGGCACTGAGTGTTTTCCTGGTGCAGTCACAGCTGCAGTTTGCTGGGAGGATGCACTGAGGGTGTTCACAGTAACCATGGGGGTGCTGTGGGCAGAACTGCAGGAAATCCTTGGCAGTCACTTGGATCTTGGCCCTGGCCCTCGGTGTGTGATGCTCAGTGTGAGACAGCACTTGGTGCTTTCATCCCCTGGCACCAGATCTGGGACAAGCTGTGCTGTATCCCCAGGATCTGTGTGCCTGTGGCTGTGGTGCACACGGCTCCTCCTCTCTTTTCACAGAATCCCACACTGCCTTGGCTTGGGGGGGCACCTTAAAGCCCATCCAGTGCCACCCCCTGCCACGGGCAGGGACACCTTCCACTGTCCCAGGCTGCTCCAAGCCCTGCCCAAGCTGGATAGGGGATCCAGGGCAGTGTGTTCTGGTGCTTCTGTGTGCCTTGTCTGCCTGTCCTCCCCTCCAGGGTGGGAGCAGAGAACACCCCTAGAGCTCGAGAAGAGCATCCCAAACCATCAGAGCCCATTGCATCCTCCCCTCCCTAACCCCTGGGTGTGCTGCTGGCTGCAGGTATGACTATGAGGAGGTGGATGCAGATGCTGCCAACAAGATGATGAAGGATTTGGAGACGATGATGTTCGACCGCTCCTTCGTGGGGAAGCAGCTGTCGAGTGGGGACAAATCCTACACGGTGGAGAAAGCTGACAACTTCGAGTACAACGACCCTGTGGATGGCAGTGTCTCCAGGAACCAGGTGGGCACAGAACTGGGCGTGTTTTCCCCATGTCCTGTTTCCATGAAGAGCAGTGGGAATGCTGTCAGTCCGTGGCTCTTGTTTCAAGTTCTCCAGCGCGGGTTAGGACAATGAATCCCTTTAGGAGCGGGGAGAGCTTCACACAGCAGCTTTCTGTGGCTCATTGAAGAGGAGGGATGGTGCAGGTGCTGGGAATCATGGAAAACCCCTTGGCTACCCACAAACACAGAGCTGAGAGCCTCTTCCCTCCCGTGTCGAGCAGGGTTTGAGGCTCATCTTCTCCGACGGCTCCCGCATCATCTTCCGCCTGAGCGGCACCGGCAGCGCGGGCGCCACCGTGCGCCTCTACATCGACAGCTACGAGAAGGATGCTCAGAAAATCAACCAAGATCCACAGGTGGGCTCTGCACCTCAGTGCTGCCACTGCTGCCTGCCCCCGCTGAGCTCTTCCTTAGCATTGCTTTGCTCGGAGCTGCGTGGAGGCGCCAGGAATTTGGGGATCTTTCATCCCAGTGTAAATAGGATTATTTAAAAAAAAGCTCAGCGTGGAGCGAGTATTCTGGGAATCCCTCATAGATGCTTCTGCCACAGCATAGGTTTTCTGTGCCTGCTTTAAAAAAAATCAATGGGATCACAGGATGCACCTGTAGTTAAGGTGAGACTGCACTGTTCTGTACTGAGTTAGGTAAATTTTCTGCAACATCATTTACAAATGTTACTGAGCTCTTGTAGGCACTGGAGGAGAAGAATCCTCCTCTTGTATTTATGTTTAGCCTGAATATCAGGAAAGAGTTTTTCACCCAGAAAATGGCTGGACATTGAACAGGTTCCCCAGGGAATGGGCACAGCCCCGAGCCAGAGCTCCAGGAGTGTTTGGACAATGCTCCCAGGGACAGGGGGGGATTGTTGGGGTGCCAGCTGGATTCCATGATCCTTGAGGATCCTTCCAACTCAGGATATTCTCTGATTCTCTATTCCCCAGCAAACACTGTGGGCTCTTTGTGCCTAACCTACTGTGCCATAATTGACAAAAAGACTGAAAATCCTCCATTCTGAGAGGTGGGAGAAACTTGGGAATTACCTGTGCTGATGTGGAGTTTGGGATACAGCACAGGGAGGATCCCACTGGAGCTTGGGGTTTTCTCTGAGCTCTGCATCCCTGTCACTGATCCCAGAGCTCAGGCTGTGAGCCCAGAGCAGCCTTTGGTCAGGAGAGCTGAGCTTTGGGTGTCCTGGATGCTGAGGGATGCAGTGTGACAAGGCTGCATGTGCTGCTCTGCTCTGAGCCCTCTCTTTCCTCCCTGCAGGTGATGCTGGCACCTCTCATTTCCATTGCACTGAAACTTTCCCAGCTGCACGAAAGGACCGGCCGTTCTGGGCCCACCGTCATCACATAGAGCTGCAGCGTGCCCTGGGCCAGGCTGAGCCCCTCCCTGTGTCAAATCGTCCCTAAAACAGGAATATTGATTTTATCTCTGTATTTAAGAACACTGTTTTGCTGCTAAGGATAGCCAATAAACCCCAGCCCTCAGCACCCCTTGTCCCCTCTGCTGCCTCTCTTTGTCCCCAGCGCTGTTGGTGGGTTGGGTGTGGTGCTCCTTACACAACTTTTGGGGCAGCACGTGGACTCCTGGCTTTTCCTTAAACAAAAGGCTCTAGGAATAACAGAAACACTGAATTCTTCAATAATTCACAGGGGCTTTTTACTATCTTGGAAACTTTCCTGGGAAAGAAGCACAAATACTTTATCCCGGTTTGGATGAGCTTGTTTGCATGAATGTGGACAATAAGAGCCTTGGAATAATCAGATTTGCAGGCATTAATGTGCAATATCTTATCCAAGGGCACAGAGAGGGTCACTTTGGAGACAGCTGTAGCTTGGTTTGATGTTAGGGCTGTGCAGCTGCACCTTCCTGCTCTTTTCCTGGAATACTCACATTAGTGGGATGAGTTTAGGTCCTGTCCCCTCTTGGTTTGCTTGCCTTTGTCACCCAAATCCTGCAATCCCCATGTCCCATCTCACCTTCTGTCCAGGGCAGAAATTTAGGCTGGGTCCCTGAGCAGACCTGAGGGAGCAGCTCTATTATCCAGGAATGTGGAACATCCCACACTCATCCCAGCCTGCCAGCACCACTTCCAAGGGAGACTGGATGTGCTGACAAAAGGCTTTTTATGTCACCTGTGCACAGCTGAGGGGTCTCTGCTGCTCCATCTGCACTGACAGTTCTGCTTGGAGAGCTGCTCTGCTGTGGGTTGGATAAAAACCCTCAAAAACCAGATGCAAACAAGTCTAAAAGCCGAGGTAGGACCCAGGAAGAGCCTGAAGCTGGCAGAGCTGTGTTTTCCACACTGTGCCCTGGGCAGGATTGTTCCAGAGGTTTCCCTCAGGGCTGGCTGCAGAGCACTAAACCAGGAAGTTGGGATTAGTGGGGGAAAACCAATTTGGCTGCTCTAATTTGCCTTTCAAGCATTGTGTGAACAAGTGACCCTGGAGTTTATGGTTGGCCTCTTGTTAAAGCAGGTCAGTCCTGGGTTCCTCCTAATGGAACTGTGAGTGTTTTTCAGTCAAACTCTGCTAAAAGCTGTGCTCTGCCCCTCCTGGTGCTAACAGCTTGCTGGTGACACACAGCTTTCCTCTCCTGGGGCTCCCAACTTCTTTCAGCACCTTCAGAATGAGAGGCAAAGTTTCCTGTGCTCTCATGGCTTTATCTGGGCTCAGTTCCTCCAGCTCTTCCTTCCCACCACAACTACAGGAGCTGCAAAGTCGAGCCCAAACTGATCTCCCTGTGACAATTTGTGCCTGTGCAGCCCTGGCCTCTCTGCCTCATGGGATTTGGAGTTTTGTGCCATGGGGAAATGTTCTTAAAATTCCCTGGCAGGACCATGGAACCAGGTGAGGATTGGGCTCCTCTCTGATAGTGGCAACTTGACAAGAGGAAATTGCAAGGGAGGTTTAGGTTGGATATTTGGGAAAATTTCTTCCCTAAAAGGGCTGTCCAGCCCTGGCCCAGCTGCCCAGGGCAGTGCTGAGTCCCCATCCCTGGAGGGGTTGAATGTGGCACTTGGGGGACATGGTTTAGTGCTGGGATTTGCAGTGCTGGGGAACAGTCAGACTCAATGGTCTGAGAGGGCTTTTCCTGCCTAAATGATTGTGTGATTCTGTGGCTGCTGGCCAGAGATCCCTCTTGGGGAAGCCTGGCTGGATTTGCCTGCTGGGTCACTGAGCAGGATGGAGCTCTTGGCAGCTGCCCCAGTGCCAGCACACCCCTGACTGCACAGCACCTGCAGGGAAAGTGGCTGTGCTTCAGGACAGCTGGTGCAGCTCCAGGTATGGGGGACTCCTGGGTTAGTCCTGGTTTTCTCAGGAAATCCACTTTTACCCCTGGGCTGGATCCTGGTGGATCCCTCCCAGGTCAGGGACAAGGGGAGCAAGGTCAGTCCTGCAGCACTCGATGGGCTGCCTTTGCCAAAGCCGTGGCCACAGAGGGGTTTGCAGAGACTCAGCCCCTCTGCAGATGGAGACTTGCATGAAAAATGACTCCTGCTCCTTCTCTGCCTCTCTCCAGGCCAAAGCTCAGCACTCCTGTCCCAGAGGAGCCCGATGAGATCCAGATGTCTCAGTTGTTGGAACCTTTATGTAAGGCAGGATCTCATTTCTGGGCAGTTTGCACTGCACAGAGATGGAAACACATCCCAAGAGCTTCCTGGGAAGAGCAGGACAGCCCAGCCCAGCCCAGAGCTCAGCCCAGCCCCAAACTGTGCTCAGGAATTCCTTGTCCCAGCCTGGCTGGTTGTGCAGAGGTGCCATGGCCAGGAGTTGAGCTGGCAGGAATCAGTGTCCAAGGTGACTCCCAGCACAAGGGGGATGGTTGAACCCCTGTGCCAGAGACACAAAAGCTCTGAAATTCTGGTTTTCTGGAGGATTTTCCACCCTGGAGATTGAGTGTCTCTCTCTCTAGATGGCAGCATTGGTAAAGAGTCTCTAAGCCACCTCCACCCGAGGCAGGGTCTTGCCACACCTCACTCTGTTGTGACTTCATCAATAATTCTGGGGTTCAGCCACAATTCCAATTAGCTGGTCCCTAAGGATGGGCTCCCACACAGAAATATATTGGCACAAACCACAGGTTTGAGACTACCTAAAACAGTTCAGAAAAACACTGCACAGTGCTGTTATTGGTGGGGTAATTCCATGTGATAAAATCCAAAATCTAATCCCCAGATCTTCAGCATGTGGAGTTTTGGGCAAAACTTCAGGTACCACTGAAAAGAAAGTGTTCTTTCTCCACCTGAGCTGTGCCCAGGTTCAGGTGGAGAAAGTGGCAACAGATGAACTAAAACAATTATTAAATCAAATCAAATCCCATTTGTTCCCTCAGTTTTTAGACACTGTTCAGGGATGTGGGACCATCAGCACATTCCAGTGTCTCTGCTTTTTCACCACCTCCAGAAGAGTTTGTCTCATCCCTTCCCTTGGTATTCTCTCACATTCCCCAGCTGTGAGAGGCTCTGGAAGATCCCAGAAATGCTGAACTGGAACCAGAAAAAAGCAGGGCCAGGCTGGGGCCAGGCTGCAGGTGAAGGATCAGGTCAGGGAGGAGTGGTAAGAATGGGACAGGATCAGGATGTGGTGCTGGGGTGGAGGTGGGAGCAGTGGGGTGGAATATATGGAGAGTGGAAGGGAAAAAAGCTCCAAAACAGAGAAGGATTTGGTTTTACTGCCTTTATTTTCACAGGCTGTGATTATGAGGCAGAATCCACAGGGGTAAGACCCTATTCCCCATTTTGGGAAATGGTTTCACAGGTCAGTGCTGACCCTGCTGCTCCCAGCACCCACCTGCACTTCAGCTCTGTGAACTCCCCCTCTCCTCTGGGCTGAACACTCAGCTCCACACGTACAGCTTGATTGCAGGGAACAAATTAAGTTTTAATTAGGAGGAGGAATCCTGGTGAGGTCCAGGTCTGAAATGCATCCAGGCTCCTCGTGTGACAGCCTGTGAGAGCAGCCAAGGCTGCAGCTGTTGGGATGGATCTGAAGGATGATGGGGATCAGATGCTCCCAGGGCTGCACCCCCTCTGCTCTGACAGAGCTGGGAGGGTCACCTGGGGAGGAGAAGGATCCAGGGAGAGCTCAGAGCCCCTTGCAGGGCCTGAAGGGGCTCCAGGAGAGCTGGAGAGGGACTGGGGATAAGGCAGGGAGGGACAGCACACAGGGAATGGATTCCCAGAGAGATGGGATTCTGGGAGGGAATTCGTCCCTGTGTGGTGGCACAGGGTGCCCAGAGCAGCTGTGGCTGCCCCTGGATCCCTGCCAGTGTCCAAGGCCAGGCTGGATGGGGCTTGGAGCACCCTGGGACAGTGGCAGATGTCCCTGCCCCTGGCACAGGATGAGCTTTAAAATCCCTTTTACCACAGCAAGGCAAAGGCTGGAAAAGGTAAGAAAAACCCTACCTGTGGCACATTGAATTTGCCATAATTTTGACCTTTCTAGAAGCAGCCAGGATGAGCTGAACACTGGAGGAGTTCAGCTGCACTTCATGGCTTTGTTTGCTATCATGACATGGCTTAGAAAGACTTTGTGTCCATTCAGATCGATTCAGCTCCCTCCTCTCCTCTGTGAAAGTCACCTGCAAGGACCTTCCATGCCCTGCTCCCTGCAGGTGCCCGTTTGGGTGCCCCAGGGTGTCTCAGATGTTCCCGATGTTGGGGAATCCCTGTAGCCGTGGAAAGGGGTTTTAACCCTTTAAGTGAGGCAGAAATAAGATGCACAGCTAC